GTGCTCTCAGAGAGGTGACCCCGCTCATCTCCGTGAGTCCCAGATGAATTGCCCGAGTCCCCAGCCCCTAACTAGGGCCCCAGGGCCTGTGTCCTTTGTCACCGTCCAACTCTGCAGTTGTGTTAGTGCCAGGCTGCGCTAGGAGCACTGGGCTCGGGCGCTCATTACCTTTCATATTTTCAAACTATTCCTAATGGTTCTGTCCTGGTTGTTCGTTGACCTGAATGAGGCAGAGCACTGCTGTCACCTACACAGGGGCAGACTGGGGGCAGTGCCCAGCACTCACTGGGGATAGCACTGAGGTTCCTTGTTCTGAACCACACTTGTCTAGAGGGTCCTACAGAAGAAAGCCAGCCTTCCCAGTGCCAAAAGGGTCTGAGGCCTAGGAAGGACCCTGGGTGTCAGGGCCCTGGCCAGAAGGGTGCAGCTGACAGTCAGTCGGATCTTGTTTGCATTTTAACAGAAACCTTTAGAAAAAGAAAACAGATTATCTGCTAGAGGATGAAAGTAGGCAGGTGTGGCCACCCTGAAGCATTCAGGGCAGATGGCTGTAAAAGCCAGCTTTATTGATCAGTGGTACGTCCTATGCTCGTTCTGTACTTTTCAAACCAGCCCACCCTGGAGAAAGTGTTGGAGAGGAAATCCTTGGCCCCAGTATCCTTGGGGCAGCAGAAGTCTGGTAAAGGGAACTGAGTGTCCCTGAGATTTTGGAAGTTGACTGCAGAGAACCGAGAGACTAGAACCCCAGTTCTGGGCTCATCAGATCTTCCTTCACTTGGAGTGCTTAAATGAGAGCTCTCGCTTGGCTTTGTGGATCAGGCAGCTGTGGCCTTGGCAGGTGAGGTGGCACTGTGCCTCCCAGAGTTGGCCCAGCGTCCGGCTCCCGCTCGCCTGGACAGACCCCTGGACTCTTCCTCCTCCTCCTGGCTGAAGCCAGTGAGTGCGGAATAACTGGGTGGGACTCTCTTAGTGCTGTTCTCTATCGGTAATAACGTTTTAATTGTCACTGCTGTACACCCGGCCAGGTGGCTGGTAGCGCTTGAAAATCACTGATGGCAAAAGGGCAGTTACTGGAAGGCCATCTAAATGTTAAATGCTAGTGGCATCAGGTAATGCAAAATGACACCCGACTAAGAGAAAAATTTAGGCTTTATTAAAATGGACTAATTTTTCAAAGGCAGCAGCTAAAGGAAGACTTTTGGTAGATGGGGAAGGGAGGAGGTTTGCATGCCACAAGACGGTGAGCCCTTTTGCTCCCATCTCTCCGTTCTGCTCCTCAGCCATTGCTCTGTCCCTCTGTGGTTAGATTATTCCTTGCAGATAGCAATCAACTGGAAGGAAGTGTGTGTGTCTAATTTGCATGAGATTATTTAAAACAAAAAAAAAGGTCTGCATTAGTCAGGGTGATGGTAAACAACGCAAAGAGATGCCTTTTATAATATAGCCTGTGTCTCAGCTTTCAGAGCCAAATATAATTCACTTACAATTGGCAGTTTCCTTTATTATTCCTTTTAACCTTTTGGATTCTGCAAGGTCTCAATCAAAGATCTGCGCTATTTATCTCAGTGGGGGTGGGTGGCAAAGATGGGACTAGGGCACCTGGATGTCTCTTGTATGAGTCCTATGGCAGTGTCTCATCCCAAAAGGCGGGGTCATCTCTGCCCAAGAGCCGATGGCTGGAAAGACAGCTAGCTGTGCTGTGGGGGAAGCAAGGACCCTGCTCCTTCTCCAGGTCCCTGGTGAACCCCAAGTCCTTGTCAGAGTCCTAGTGCTGGCCAGTCCTCCTAAGCCAGGGATGCCCCAGAAGAAGAGGACACTTGGGGTCAGAGGCGCCCATCTATGAGTGGCACCTGGATTTGATCTGGAATTAGGATCTTAGAGAACAAGATGGGGACAGGGGTGCTACATCTTCGCTCTGGTATTCAGAAAGTTGTCCAGTTGGCCTTTGCAGATAGGACCCAGAGGTTAAGTTGCTGTGTTGTATTAGTATCAGCCCAAACAGCGTTTGTTGGTCCTGGTGATAGATAGGGGTCTGTGGGGTGCAATGGGAGAAGGAAATGCAGTCCTTCTCGAAACCTCTTTCACAAAATTCAAGATTTAAAACAGGTTCTGGCTGGGTGTGTGGTGGTACACACTTGTTAGCCCAGCTAGTCGGGAGACCGAAGCAAGAGCATTACAAGTTTGAGGCCAGTCTGAGCAATTTAGTGAGACCTTGTCTCAGAATTTTAAAACAGGCAAGGGGGACTGGGATATCACTGGGTAGAAGGCTTGCTGACCATGTGTGAGTCCCTGAGTTCCATCCCTAGTACTGAACAGGGTAAGAAAAAGACGTTAAGATCTGGATTTGTTACCTGATGTCTGTAACTGTGGTGTGAGAGCGAGTCACCAGGCTGGGGTGGAAAGCCTGGGGCAGTCACTGTGTCACTGTTCTCCAGAACAAGTGTAACTTGGGGCAGTTTCTGCCTTCCTTGGACTTTGAGTTTTTATCTGATGAAGGAGGGCAGTGACTGGGATAATGCTCCAGCTCTGAAATGATATTATCCAGTGAGATTGTTAAAATGCTTTTTTTTTTTAAAAAAAGAATGAGTCATTTATTGTAACTAAATCAAAACCTTGACTCTCCTGGGGAAGTAGGGATATCAGAATTCCAGCCAGTGTAAATTTAAGAGCATCAGATGATAAGGTCTGAAAAATAGGAGCTTGGAAGGAAGTGCTGATGCCCTTTAAACCGAGGCCTCACTGGTGGGCTCAGTTGTGATAATGCACGGAACATGTTTTATTAGGAAAATAGGCTACGTAAAAGCTCAGGGCCAGAGGGCAGAAAAACGGACAGGGAGTCCTGTTCCTTTAACCAGCTCCAGCTCTCAGGGCCGCAGCACAGCCTGTAACTTACTGTATATTTCCCCAGCGTTAAACATTATAGTACTTGTTTATATTTGAAAGAGCCAAAAGGGAAAATGAGAATGCAACTGAATGCTCCTTTTGGGAAAATTATCCTCATTTGCAGCCAGTGGCTGACAAGGCACGCGAACCACCAGGTTTATAGAATTCCATGGTGTACCAGTGACCAGCAGCCTGTGCTGACGTCGCAGATGCCGCTTTCTTCTCTAGTGGCCGCTTATGAACTGGTTAAAGCAATGTCTTCCCTCCTTGAGCTTAGAGAGGGGTGCCCCTTCCTATTTAGGAAGAGCAATCTGCAGCCACTGCACACGCGAGAGCCTGAGAGGCATAAGCTCCAGGGAGGTGTGTCCTCTGTCTGTCCTGGCTTGTCTGTCTGTCCTGTCCCCGCTCTGCCTGGGAGGAGAAATATGGGAAAAGCAGGCCCTCTGCAGCAGGCCGGGCATGTAGGGTGGGGTGGGGGGTGTCCCCTATCCAGCCCTGGTCTACTCAACTTTAGTTTTTGTGCTTAGAAGCTGGTAAGCGCTATTCATCTGCCCTGGGAGAGCAGTGCTGTCAGGGGTCCCCAGTAGCACCTCAGACCTGCAGTGGCGTGGCCTTGCCTGCTCCTACTGGCTTCATGGAGTGTGCAAGGAAAGGAAGGAGGAGAAGACCTAGAGTTCAATGGCGACTTAACCTCATCTGCTTAGTGCAGAGAAGAGGAAGGGCCCAGGGCTTTTTCGAGTGGTCCGGGCACTCCCTTGGCCAGTCATGGTAGGGCATGAAAACTTTGAGGGATGGCTGCAGTCAGCTCACGCCAATACGCAGGGCTGAGCCTCGCTCTAAAGCATTAATGTGCACCATCTATTAGCCCCTAGGCACAGAGTGCAAGGCACCACGCTTTGAAGATGCTGATCCTCCGAACCGCCTCATACTTCATCCACCCCCAGGGGCAAGTATACCATGCTGTGGGCCTCTAATGGAGAGCTACCGACCAGATGTGGAAAAGCTCTCGGCTCTAGTTTAAAAGCTCTGTGTTGCAGTTCAACTGGAAATTGGGATTCCCGGAACGGCGTGGACTGGCCTGAGTGTCTCCTGCAGACTAGCAGTGACCTCCTACTTACTTTTCCCACTTGCCGAAGTAGAGAGCTTTTGTAGGCACCGTTACTTCCTGAGTAGACCCTGTGGGCAAGTTCTTCTCATACCTGGGTGCCACACTTTGTTCTGGTCTGTGGATTGGCAGGTGCCCTCATCCTCTACCCTGGAGCCAGTTTCCCCAGTCTGTTTGCAGCTATCCTAACTGGGCCCCCACTGGGAATGGGGTCTTCATGGCTTCTCACTTGCCTTTTATTCCTCCATGGGCAGAGCCTCTCTGCATGTTACAGCCACTGCAGATGGCACCATGTTATTTCCTGAGGTCCCATGTGCAGTTTGGGTTAGCGTGTCGGGAGAAATTAAAAAAAGGAAAAGAAAAACTAGCCAAAGGCGATCCAGGCAGCCTTTCATAGGCTAGAGCAATAATCATCTGAAAGTTTGGGCCTGGCCTTGTTTTGATCTGTTTTCTTGTTTTATTTTCTTCTTTACATCCTATATCCCATTCATACTAATCACAGTCAGTCCTGATTTTTCTTTTTATTTCTGCATTTGTCATAAAATAAAGCAAATTATTCCCGTCTCCTGAAACGATCTAGACTAATTAGTCGTCTCACCCAATAATTAGTTTTTTGTTTCCCTGTCTGTTTTCATGCATTATTGTTAGTTTTTTCCCCTCTTTTTTTAACACCATTACAGATTAAAATGAGCCACATTTGCAGTTGATGGTATCTGTTTTCGGGGGAAGAATGTAGAATTGCAGTACAGAGCAACTTCAAAAGCAGCAATAAACTCAAGGATAAATTAAGGAAATTGAATGAGCCACATTTGGAAGCAGTGTTGAGGCTAATATTCTGTCGCTTAAGGTTAAATTGCAACTGAGAGAGGTTCCGGAGAATCCCAAATTGGGAAGGCAGCTTGCTAGGATGCCAGGCATTCTGTGGCTGTACGAGCCTTTTCTATGGTGAATTCTCTTGCACCCGTGGCCATGGGGCAAAGGTACTCACCTGCCATTCTGTGCTTTTTCCCAGGGCTGACCGATGAAGAGATCGACCTGGCTTTTCAGCAGTCGGGCACTGCTGCCGAGGAGCCCGCGTCCTTGGGCCCAGCCACGCAGGTGGTTCCTCTGCAGCACCCCCACCTCATTTCGCAGCCATACAGTAAGTGACCCGCTGCAGCTCCTGCACTGACCAGCGCTGGGATTCAGAACTCCAGCCACGAGCTGTTCTGCGTCTCCCAGGCCCGGCGAATCTGGGTTTCTCCCATTTTGAGTGGAAAGCTCTTGGGTTTTCCCAAAAGACACACCCAAGTCCTCTTCTACACAAACTTCTAAGTGTATGACAAAGGTCAGACAAGGAACTAGGATAAATGAGGCAGTTGTGTTGTTTCAAATATTTTGGTTATGTGTAAGAAACTATAAAGCTGGGATTGGTTCTGTTTCCATCTTCTCACACCAGTGCTTTGAAGGCCACTGTTTCCCGATAACAGCATGAACATCTGATTCCTGGATCCGTTGGCCTTTGCTCACAGAAGTCACCCTTCTCTTAATTTTGGGGGGGAAGAGGTACTGGGGATTGAACTTGGGACCTTGCAGTTGTGAGGCAGGAGGTGGAACCACTGAGCTAAATCCCTGGCCCCTCTTAATTTTTGTTTTTGAAGTTAATATCGGGTCTAGGCCAGCCTTTCCTCTGCTCTCTCCCGCCGCCTGGCTGTGCCGGTATAGTCACATGGTGGCAGCCTGTTAGGAAACTTCAGATTCAATGTGAAGGTCCTTTTTGAATGTGGCTTTTAATTATTACATGCGATCATGACCCAAGAGGGTTTCTGTTGTTTTTTAAATGAAAACTACTGTCCTAATGAATGTGCTAATACATATATACCTCTAAAATACAGCCAGAACTTCTTTTTAAGCCACTTATAAAAAGTCAACAAAGGTTAAAATTGACTCTGGAGCTGTGGAAAATAGCTCAGTTTTGTTGCTGTATTGTAACTCAGCATTAGCTCTCTCATCTTTCAAAATGCTTTTTTCTGTAATTGTCTTCAGTTTGTAATTGTCTGTCTCAGTTTTATTTTTAAAAATGATATAAAACAGTATTAGACACCAGGTTTAGAGAGACACATTTTAAAATGAGAGATTCATCTTGGTCCCTGAGCACACGGTCTGAAGCCACCATCTTTCTTGTGGTTTTCACCTGGCCCTCCTGCAGCTGGGCAGGTGGCCTTCGGAGGACAAGCAGCCCACAAGATCTTTCCTCCCACAAGGCTGGGCTGCTGGGCTGGGCACTGAGTTGGCATCTCCTTTGCATGGCACAAATATGTCCACTTCTTTTGCTTTCCGAATACAGCTGAGTGGCTGAGACCAGGGCACTTGCACCCAGGTGTAATGCTCATTAGTGCCTTGCCTGAGAAACCCGAAGTGTTCTGACCTCTTTGGACGCAGGGACAGGCCTTTCACAGCAGGCCCGTGTTTGGGCTCCTGAGTCACTCACTACCTGCCGCTTGTCAGCATGGGTCTTGTTTCTCCTTCCTGGCCAGCGGTATATCAGCCCTTTGTATTTGCTTTTGCTCTAAACTTACTTTACATGTTTCTTTTTAAGCAAAGGCTCATTCTCCACCCTCTTTCCTGAGTTGTGTCCTTAGGCCCAGCCATTTAATGGGATTTGTTGAGGATAGGCGGTGGCAGCTGGGATGCAGAATTTTCTAAGATGCGCATCTGTTCTGTTCCAGCTGTTTCCTCCCATGGCTTAATACCAAACAGGTCTCTTGGCTACTTGGAAACTTCTTGCTCAGAACAAATCGTTCTGGTTGGCCAGAGGTGGCTTAAAATGGCATGTGCTTGCCTGTTCCCCAAGACACAAAGGGTTACGCTGTTAGTCTTTCTGAGAAAGGCAGAAGAATGGGGTGGGTAGCAGGAGGTTCCGTCATGTAAACCGTGCAGATCACGCTGAGGGGAAGCCTTACACTGCAGGTATTTAGGTAGAAGAGTTTCTGAGTCTCCTAGCCCTAAAAATAACATACATCGTCTTAGAGACAGACTTCTGCCTGCTTGACATTAGTATAAAAACACTGAGAATGGCACATTTAAGTACCTAAAGTTTTCATTTGTCACCTAAGAGCTTCATTTTTTGAGCACCGTTACTTTGTACCTTTCTGCTTCAGGGACGACTCTGCCTCTTCACTTCTGTACTTTTGCCAAGAGGTGTCAAAACTGCTCCCCCCCCAAAAAAAAGCTTGATTTTGATTAATATAGAGAAACAAGACTTTGCCTGACTGATAATAAAACTGATAAATGACATTTGAATTACTTGTAGCGGTAATTTATTACATAAAATATCTTTTATTTGACATGCGATTAGTTGCTGGAAGCATCACTCAATCTGACTAGTTTAAACATGCTCTGAAATGAACCCCAGTAAAAACCAGGGCTGTCGGCTGCTGGCGTTATGAAATATACCAATCTTGGAGTGAGGAAAAAATCTGACTTTAAATATTTAAATGATTAATTGGGTTTATATATTTTTTTTACCTTTCTAACCCCCTTAATTACAAGCAAACTCAGGGGAGTTTCTGAACTAGGTGTGTAATCTGCATGCTTATCACCCCGGCATTGTCTGCATCCAGAAGGGATTTATGGGCTCTGTTCATGTGTGTTCCTGCCCGTTCTACACCGAGGTCCCCAGCAGCCCTTTCCTTCCTGTTTCTTGGCTTTTTAAAGACATTCCAGCTCTGAGCCAAGCCTAGAAAATGGGATTCCCTGGGCCCAGCCCAAGAGCTTTGTGTCAGGGGAGGGTGGTCTCTCCGAGACTTTTCCTGGGGGCCAGTAGTGCAGATCTCGGGGTCTGGAGCCACCGCCAGCCTTGCGGTGGCAGATGTGCCACTGGGACCCCTGATGATGTCTGTGCTTTCTGATGGTTGTGGTTGACCTCAAGATGTTAGGGGATGCCAGTGCCAGTGAAGAGCACATGGAGCCCAGCTAGAGCAGTGCCATTCAGTTCCTTGGTGTTTATCAGGCCCCAGGATGCTCAGCACTCTGTCATATGGGAGATTCAAATGTGATCTTTAAGAATCCTGCAAGCTCTCTGGGAAAGATAAGATAAACTCTTAAGAAAAAGATAATAATATAAGACATTGTGATATAATGCCAAAATTAATTACACAGACAAATTCCACAAGATTATAGAAAAGAGAAATTAATGTGGGCTAGAGAGTCAGGGAGGCTTTGTGAAAGTGGCAGGAGGCTTTGTGAAAGTGGCAGGAGGAAGCATTGTGTCATCTGGTGTGAGACTAAGCCAGTGTTCCTGGAGCTTCAGAGAGAGCCTGGTAAAATTCAGAAGTCAGGCTGTGAGTTGAGAGGAGATTCGACATTCTCTGTTTCTCATTTTGGTTTTTGGGGGGGTTTTTTGCTACCAGGGATCGAACTCAGGACCTTGCACTTGGAAGGCAGGTGTGGTGCCACTGGGCTAAATCCCCAGCCTCTGTTTCTCCTTTTGGTTTCTTTTGGTTTGACTTCAAGTGGGGAAACAATGTGTATAGCCCTAGCCTGGTCTTAGACACAGAGTCCTGCTAAATGCTGACCTGAGTGATTTGTGCCAAGCTGATTTTTCTTCTTTGACCCCTGGACAGACAAGCAGCAAGGGGCTTTGAGATACAAGCAGGGCCACTGTGAATTTGGTAGGGTAGTAATTTCTTTCTTAGGCTTGATTAACTCCTTGCCGCCATCTTGGATAAACAGTTTGGACCCCTTCACAGACTGACCCATGGTTTCATCTGCTTTTCCTAAAATAGGATGTAAATGTCTGAGGCTGCTGAAAGGCTTTGGACCATTTGATTTGAAATCTTGAGTGTGTTCTTTCTTGGTTTGCTTGTTTTGCAGCCCTGTTTAATAACATGTACTTATCCTGATTATCTTAACTCATGGAGCAAGCACTTATTATTGAATGCCTACTGTAGGAAGGCACTGTGCTGGACCCCAGGGGTGACAAGATTAACGAGGTGTGTTAGTCATCTTTCCATTGCTGTAATTCATACCTGAGAATATCCACTTATAAAGGGACAAGGCTTGTTTTGGCTCACGGTGCGAAGGTTCCAGTCCATGACTGGAGGGGCCCTCCCTATTGCTTTCAGGCCTGTGCTGGGAGTACCGATGCCAAGGGCAGGGAGTGCCTGGCTGAGCAGCATCGCCTGTGTCATGGCCCGGAGCAAGAGAAAAAGGAGGGAGGCCTCCCACTCCCATTCTGTTTTGGTTTTTTGAGACAGGGTCTCACTGTGTAGTTCAGGCTGGCCTTGAACTCACTATGAAGGTCAGGGCTCAAGCTTGTGGTGATTTTTCTGCCTCAGGCTCCCAAGTACTGGAGTTACAGGGTGCATCACCACACCCTGCTCACTGTTCCCTTTGAGCACAAGTCCACAGGACCCTAAAAGCCCCCATTAGGGCCAACCTCTTAAAGGTTCTGGGATCTCCGGGTGACATTTAAGATCCGGAAGCGAGCCTGGCAGTGCTGATGAGGCAGACTGGTGTGGAGATGAGACAGAGGAGGGCAGGGACGCTCCAGAGAGCCTGAGGACGGCAGTTGCGGTGAGCAGCCCGAGGACAGGTGCACACAGACCCAGCGCCGAGAGCTCTAGATGGTTCAGAGCTGCAAGGGCAGAGGGAGGCGCCGAGTTAGCCTCTCAGAACACAGCTCACCTTGCTCATTGTTGAAGCTGTTAGCTGTGTAACCATATTATTCTTAGACCAGCATTAAAATTGCTTGTATCTTCTGGCAGATCCGTGGGGTGCACTGGCCTGACACCCTTCTCATCTCCTTTGTCCGGCAACTCCATACTGTTGGACCAGGTTGGGGTCAGCTGTGGACTCCCCTGGGGCATCTCCCTGTCTCTCTCAGCCCCTGCTGCCCACCACACTATACTTAAATGTTATTTCAATGTCTTTCCTATTAACTGTGAGTTCTGAGGCTTTTTTTTTTTTAATTCAGTAGTCTAAGGCTCTGACTTAGCAGGTATTCTAGAAATGCTGGTTGAATGGTGGTAGAAATCTGCTTGAGAATTGCAGGGCTGCCCTGTGATAGCGGTAGCATGAGCCAGAGCCCCAGCAGCCCATCAGTGGGACCTTCTGTGTGCCCAGCCCTTGAAGGCCACTCTGGAGGAAGCAGGGGACTGG